TTAGTCATTAAAGTTAACTTTTACCTGTTAAATAGATGATTGATGCCAATACTTACGGGTTTATAGGTTACCATGGTTAGTTGGCACTCATGACATGGAGACAATAGGTCATGTCATATCCACATAAGCATTTTGTAGATTTTGAGAGAAAACAAAGATGAACAAGTTCAGTTTCATTGCAAATTTCTTGTTTGGGGCTATTTTCTCTTTAGTTACGACTGAACCTATCGAAGATAAGAAGATCTTACTTGATTTCATCCAAAAATATATTCTAAACACTATCATTCGACTATCAAATCTTCATATCTTGAGTTTAAGATCCAATGGATTATCCGGTCCTTTTATGTCTGATTTCTCTACATCTTCAATGCAATAACTTCTTTGGTCAATTACCATTGAATTTATCCGTTTGGAGCAATCTCTTTGTTCTTAATCTCTCCAATAATGGTTTCACTGGAAGCATTTCTCCTTTCATTTCAAGTCTGATTCACCTCATAGTTTTGAAATCCCCGATTTATGTATCTCGACTTTATAGATTATACTAACAAAATTTTCACTTGAACCCTGACTCGATCTCTCAAAAGATCTCCTAGGTCAACTTTTCTTGGAAACAACATCGCTCCTGATTCTGATTCATTATCGCTTCATCCTCTTTCTCCTCAAAAGAAACCCGCAAAACTGGGTGAATCTGCAATCCTTGGGATCATGATTGGGTGTTCCGTCTTGGTGCTAGGACTACTGGCTTAATTGTTGGTTGTTTGGCATTTGAAGACAAAAGCTAAAAAATCAGGATTTGTAGAGAATATATAAGAATCAAAAAGGTATGGAGAATTTGTGATCGAGAAGCGTTGGAAATGGAAACATGAACCTTGTTTTCTTTGAGAGGAGTAACTTGTCGTTCAATTTCAATAATCTTTTTAGGGCTTTTGTAGAGGTTTTAGGTAAGGGTGCTTTCGGTACAACTTATAAAGCAATGATGAAGATTAAAGCATAGACGACGATGAATACAAATAAATGAAGAATACAAATAAATGAGGAAAAGTTCGGTGTCCCTTAAAAGATATAAAGAAATGTAATTGAAAATGTCACAGCATAAAAGTAATTGGCTCTCTCATATCATAGTTGTGCTAGATTAACATATTCCCACTAAAAAATAAGACAATACATAGTTGTGCTAGATTAATATTTTCCAACTCATTCTTATTTTTTCCTTTAAAAATGAAATAAAAAATTAGATAAATAGTGTTTCATCTCCAATTCTTTTTATTTTTTACCCCCAAAAATTATATTCCTAATATATTCTATTTTTCAACCTATATAGATTGTCAATTATACCCCTTCTACTAATTTGATTTTAACAAATATATAATCTATATTTTTTTCATTACAATACTATTAAATAAATAAGATTATATTTATAACACATAATTATAAGCTTTTCTAAAATGCGTTATCGTATTTTAAAATTTCAATATGTATTTAAATTTTCATATGAATTTGATAAACAAAAAATAAACTTCATATTTATAATTAATTAATATAATTTAATACATAATACAATATTATAAGTATTAAATAATACATTTAAATTATAACTAGTAGATAAAATAAACTAATAATGTATAAATATATAAAAAAATGGACTAAAATTAACAACTCAAAGTTCATCCGTACAACACCATATTTGGTATTATACTATTCATTTCCCCCAAAATAAACGAATAAATGGGGTAGAGTTGGAGAGAATTTGGGGAAAAAATGGAAGAAAATTTGAAAAATAGGAGTGGATTGGAGCTGTTCTAATGATGTTTTTAAACATTTTATATACTTTGTTATTAAGAGGGTGTTTGGCATAACTTTTAAAGTAACTTTTTTTTTTCTAAAAGTCAAAAAGATGTTTGGTAAAATGAAAATGATTTTTGTAATCAACTTTTTCAATAGAGGAAATCTTGTCTTTTTAAAAAGTCACCTAAACGTAATTTTTCCAACTTTTCAACCACTTAAAACATTAAATTACCTTTATACCCTCAGCTACCCTAACAGTAGTGGGTGTGTGCAACAAGGTGCAACACCAAGTTGTGTCACCTCACATGTCACATAAACAAATGATGTTATAACACCAAGTGGGAAAATGAGCAACAAGATGCAACACCAACTTTTTGAAAATATTTTTTTTTTTGTATTTTTTTTTACTATTTCGTTTTTTTTTACTTTTTTTTTTTGTTTTCGTTTTTTTTCTTTTTGCGCTTTTTTAATAACTAATATATTTTTTATAAAACATATAATTAAAAATAAAAAAAAAATAAAAAAATAAAAAAATAAAAAAATTAAAAAATAAAAAAAACATAATATTTAAAATCTAAAATTCTGATTACAATTAAAAAAAACCATAATTTTAAACCTAAATTAATAACTAAAATACCATTCAAATTACTACTAAAACCATACACCAATCTTAATTAACCCAAAATATTTCCTAATTTGTTCCTTCATCGCTTGTAGCACCGCTAGATCAACAGACGTTAAACCCTCCTCGCTTGTCCGAAAAATTGACAATTGATGTGTCATTAGTTCCCTCTCTTTTTGCTCTTGCTTCTCCCGTGTCTGCCTTTCCAGGAACTTCAAATGACGATGTTTCAAGTCATTTTTTTCTTTTATTAATAAATTGTGCTCGTCGAATTTCGCTCTCATTTCCGCCGTATCTTTTGCTCTCGTCTCCACCTCCTTCGCATGTCTTGCAGCGCGCCTCGCTTTGTCACATCCGGGCGGTCGTCGTGGTGGGGATATCTCTTAGATATCATCTGGGATCTCATCGTCATCGGCGTTTAGGTCGATGTTAGTCTATGTGTCTGACACGTCGACCGAGCTAGAATTGCGAGATCTTTTGGATTGAACCTCCGACGATGTAGGCGTTTTATTCCACTTTGGATCTGCTCGCAACAATTCCCATGATTTTTCAAAGTCGAAAACATGATCCATTTCGACCCGATATTGTTCCTTAGCAGATTTGAACAAATCGAAGTCGTTGGTTCCGCTTTGTTGTTGCGCCTCAAGCCAGTTCTAAATACCGTTGAATTTGCTGCACCGCATACCCCATTTGCTGCTCAACATGTCATTGTTGCGATACGGATTTTTCTTTAAAATAACGTGAAATTTGTCGAGCACCGCCCCCCAATAAGCTCCTTTTTTTCATTCCATTTCCGCGAAGTTCGTTTTTTGAAGTAGCACACCAAGCCGCCGTCAAAGCATATTCCTCCTCCGGTATCCACCATTGTGGAACGTCTGCATTTTCTGTTTCTACCGCTATTGATTTCCCTTTTGATTTTCCTTTCCCTTTCCCTTTCTTGTTCCTACTACCTCCCGCTTCTACTTCACCCGATTGTTGTGTCATAGGCGATGGTTGGTTGGTTTGTTGTTGCATCGAAGCAAAAGAAGAGAAAAGATTTTGTTGTAAATTTGGGTTTTGACCGCCTTGATTTTGTTGAAAGTAAGGTGAGTTGGGAAACTGTAGTGGCGGTAAAACAGGATTGAAAGTTGCGCCTTGGTATAGGATCTGTGGTGAGCCTTGAATCGATAAAAGGTTGAAATAACCTTCATAACCAGCAAACCCAACATGCGAGGTTGTGTGTTTGGTTTTGATGATAGGGAGGTGTTTTGGTTTTGCTCCTTTTTTTAGAAAGAAATAAAAATGTAGATAGAAAAAAATGTTAAGGTTTGAAATGAAATATATATATATATATATATATATATATATATATATATATATATATATATATATATATATATATATATATATATATATATTATATATATTATATATATATATATATAGGTAAAAAGGTAATTTTTTTTAAATTGATGTGAATTTGACCGTTTGCAAACGGTAAGTTTACAACGGTTAAATTTTTGGCCGTTTCAGTGGCCACGAGAAGCAACAAATGGGGGGGGGGGGGGGGGGTCCCAGTTACGACACCGTCAAGCTGCGCCACATCACCGGCGTTACATCCCGTTTGGACCCATACCGTGTGGTCTAATCAATATAAATATAAATATGTAAACATATCATTTTTAGTCATTTTACATGTAAAGTTAAACTAAACATTTTTTAAAAAACAATTTTTGTAAAAAATCCTTTCAAAAAAAATCATTTTACAAAAAAGACTTTTACACCTCAAAAGATAAACCAAACACCCTCTAACCCTTGAATCTATCGATAAATTTCTAAAAACTTGTTACATTTTTAACCCTTTTACTTGAAAAGTCATTACGGTTTTTTTGTGTTTGCTGCAGAAAAACCATTGATAATCTGAAATAATTCATTCAAGTCGTTTAGCTTGGCATAGTCCAGTCTTTGTCGGAAAAAAGTCAGTCCAACCATTGCAAAACAACTCACTATCCACTCAAACAGTTGAATATGATGTAATTGTAACTATATTTGTCCGAAATTAATGTAACATCTTCAACTTGTTAATTGATTTTACCAAATAAACAATACCTTAAATGATAAAAACAAAATCAAATTACCAGTGATTTTCCCAGAAAAAGAAAACCGTAAAATATAATTTTCGGGTGTTCATGTGAAAAGACCTTTTTTGAATTTCGTCCTACGTCTGTCTAATTAGAAAGTTTATTAGTTGTGTCCTGTTTTACATTATTATATACATACTTTAAAAACCTATTGAAAATCTTACAAATAATATTACCATTTAAAGAAAATTATAAACTAATTTTTTGTAGCTGGCTATTTTTTCTTTTTTTCATCTGTTAAGTTTTAAATGATCATTTTACACTAACATTATAATTTCCTTTCTAAAGCATTTCTCATTTCTAAGAATATTCATCAATATTACGGATAAATAGTTTAGCGTCTTACTACATTAAGTTAGGTTTTTATGGCTTAATTCATTTTGTCACGATTAAATAAATAAATAAATAAAAATAGCCCAAAAAGTATCTAAACATAAAATACAACTCAAATCCAAAAAGTTAGACATCTTTCACTATTCTCTCGCAAAACGCGACAACCATATCCTCCTTTTAAGATCCTCAACCAATACAAAAACGTTTTCATGAATACAAAACTTGAAATATATATATATATATATATATATATATATATATATATATATATATATATATATATATATATATATATATATATATATATATTATATATATATATATAAAAGCATCATCAAAATCACTAAATAATACAAACAACATTTTTTTTTTATCTTCAAGTAAAAAAAAATGTTAGGAAGTAAGATTTTACTTACTTTACCTTTCAAGAAGCATGACAAGTTCACAATGTGGGGTATGTGGGAAAAGGTCAACAGCCATGGCTTTGACCGGCTTAAAGGGTTCAGAAGTAGGCATAGATTTGGCTCTATGTCGAGCCAAACCAGCACTACTCATATTTCTCCATCCTCTGTTGTTCTTATTCCCTTTCTCATTACTCTCATCAGAAGGAGTACAAAGCTCAATCGCATTTGCCATTAAACTCTCAGGATTACACGAAATATAACTGCAAAAAAAAAAAACAGGGTAGATATCGTCACAAATGAGAAAAACAAAGGTCGAGAATGTAAAATTAGTTTTAGTTTTACTTACACAAGCCTCCTTAAACGTGAATGAGTCCTAAGAGCCTTGATCACAGTGGGATGAAGTCCAACACGTGGAGGATCCACAATCGCCACCACATTTTCAAAATATTCCATCTTTTTCTCATTATTATTATTATTATTCTTTTCATTAACAGAATTATTTTCTTCTTCCTTTTGAACTTCTTTGATATCCTTTTTCTCATCTTCTTTGATACCAACATCGGAATCACTGATTCCGGAGTCTAGTTTTTTTGTTAAGTATTCTTTTAATAGCGACCCCATAACATCTTCCGCCTGTAAATGAGATCAAAAAAAAAACAATTGATGTCTACAAAACTTGAGAAATTCGTTTTTTTTTTTTTTTGAATTATTCTCACTTTTGAACAGACAAATCTGCAGTTTTTGATTCCATTGATTTCAGCATTCCGATTTGCATCAGCTACTGCAGAAGCATTCATTTCAATTCCAACCACCTAAAAACAAAAAACTATAAGCCTATGAAATATATTAAAGATTTTTAAAGGACAAAATGGTAATTTACCATTCCAACACGATGGGCTAGGGTAAGCCCAATGGTTCCGGTCCCACAACATACATCAAAAAGTAAGGTATTGGGCCCTAAATTGGCCCAATCTCCAGCAAGTGAGTAGAGTTTTTCAGCTGCAAGGGTGTTCACCTACAAGATTTTAAAATTTTAGTGGAATGGAATTGGTGAAAGGAATGGAATCGTAGATTCCATTCCATTGTTTAAAAAAACAGATCCTTAGAAATTATATGTAAATTAAAAAGGCCAAAAGAGAAGTTATATTTATATATAATATATTACTTGGAAAAAAGCTGTAGGGGATATAAAAAACCGAAGATTATTTATATAATCTTGAATTCTAGCTTCTGCAACAATTTCAGAATCCTTGGTAAGTGACAGGTGGCGCAATGGAGCATCAGCTGGTGCCACATTGGATATTCCTTGATGATCCTGCATATATATTTACAGAAAAAAAGAATATATCAAAATATATTTTTTTAATAAAAATGAATAATGAATAATGTAATATTTAAAATATACCTGAACAACCAACACAGTAAGAGGCAAAGAGGGAGAATTTGTAGAAGCTCCAATTACAAAAGCTTCAGACATTTTCTCAAGTTCAACATTTATAGCTTCATCATCAATACCCTTTGAGCAAATCTGTGTAAAGAAATCAAAACACATAAAAGGTCAATAATGGAAAAAAAGAAAAAGAAAAATTGTAACTTTCTAAATAAGCAAAAACTAAAACACAACCTGAACCATAAGCAAAACTTCTGAA